TGTTTCTATTAAAACTTGGATTTGGGCGAGTTGGTTCATACTGAATTAAAAGGTTAAAGGCACGAACAAAACGAGGACAATAAAGACACAAAGACAAGACAGGCGCTAACTCTTCCCTAAAAAAATTTCACATCAATCCTTTCGTATTGGCACAGATTGATTTGAAAATAATTAGAATAATTTATATTTCATATTTCGGATAGCAATTTTCTCTTGCAGTACATTTCAAACAGGGGGAGGGGCACAACGGCACATGCGCGTCGTTCCCCTGTAAGAATGACGGTCGCTTCCCGCGATGCTAGGATAGCGTACCATCGTAATTCACACGATACCCAGCGGCCTCCACGATTCCCTGCACCCCGTTGTTCGTCAGTGCCATGAGATAAATTGTGAATTTTACGGCAGCGTGAAATGCGGGACATTTTGAACATTTTTGGTGTACCTTGCGAGTCGCGGGACGGGTGGTCACCCTATATGGTCCGCGTTGCCTATCTGCGATGGTATGTAGCCATGGTTTTTCCGCATCTTGATAACAAAGCTCTGGAAGGCGAGCAGCTTTTTTTTTTATACTCTTCTGGGACATGTTGACACATTGTTGTCCCACGGCGGATGGACAGGTTTTTTCTCTTCATAAAACGTCGAATCCACCCATTGCTGGCTTTGTACAAAGTCGCCGGTTTCTCCTTGCTCCGTGCAATGTCGAGCGCTCCCATGCACAGCATCTCCGTCGAGACCGCATAGCCATTGCTCTGGGTGCTCATTACAAATTAAAGGAGCAAATCTTCAACTTCGGGGAACAGGCTCTGCTTGCCTCGGAAAGTGCGCTTTGTTGTCTTGGCCTTCTTTAGTTTATCTTCTTGGAAGCACCACCGGCGTACACATTTGTCGTCGACATCAAACTTTCTTATGACCGCTCTTTTGCTATTGTCTTTAGCAAAGGCAACAACTTTAAGTTTAAAGCCGGCCATGTAACTCGCGTACATGCCCATCCAGAAGCCTGAAGTGGACAACAGTGGGAAACCGGGGCTGCACAAACACGAAGAGATGCATCTGGTTCCAGATTGTTCGATATAAAGCGAGAGGCGCAAACAGACTGCCTCAATGTTATTGGCTGCAGCAGCCGGGTGGGCACCATCTGCCGGCAGTACCTACGCTACAAACTAGATGGCGCTTCCAGCTATCCTAAAATCGTAGGTGCGGCCTATAGACGGGCAATTTTTAAATCTATTTTTTTTGCTTTTTTTGTTTAACGTTCGGGGTGCAGCTATTACACGCGTATATAGGGTACTCCGTTTACCTTCTGATGTACTGCGATGGACGCAACTAGCTACACAAGCCAATCCATAGATCGTAGCTTCTCTTGCGACTTCGCAGTCCCTGCGTCGCTCCGCCAAACCGGGAGGGCACGTGACACCCTCCGAGCTATGAATTGGCTCCGGTGGCTCGTAGCGTCCTTTGCGGTCTACCTTAGAATGAAACAAAGCATTGAATACTTATTTGTTTCATTATTATGGAGCTACATGTCTTCATGTCGTCGCTGCCGTTTGTTTTGTCAAAACTGAGCGCTGACGCCACTGTCGCGAATATTTACTTGACTTGATGCCACCACCCGCAAGAAGGTGCGGCTCACGTTTAATTACACCGAGCCATTTCCAACGAACTGGTAATTGCCACATGAGGTTATGATTCCGTTCTGCTTTGGGTTAAGCATGAAATTTTGGGTTACAGTTTTTTTACGGTTCAGTTAAAGATAACAAATTTGCTCCAGTTTTCGGTTCAGGTTCGGTTCGACATTATGGTGAAAATCTACCTGCTAATTGCGTACAGTTATAACAGCCGCTTTGTTGCATCTCGCGACACCTTGTCCATCTACAACTATGAAGTTTTGGTTGCTTCATGGAGGGCGTGCTATTTTCATCCTCGAAGGAGCATAAGCCAGTGAGACAATCAAGCCGTCAGTCACCTCCAGCGCCTGACGCTGTTTCAAGAGCCTCTTAAAGGGACACTGACAGGGTATTTATGCTCGCCGAGGTTTTTAGTTGTACGTGACATATGAGAGCTGAACTACCCAGAACAGAATTTGCGGCTCGAAATTCGGTTTCTTACCGCCCGAAAACCGCCGATCAAGAAATGGCCGGTTCGAGTCTCGCTCACTCTCTTTTCCGCGGTCACGGGCCGTTTTCTAAGGTATCGATGCGACCACCAAATTTAATCAAAGTCGTGGGTCACTGAAGGCACACACTCAATGTTAAAAATAGAAAAAATTATGAAACCCATTTTTTGTGGCTTCTAAAAAGCTGCAAATACGTTGATTGAAAAAAAAAGTTCCACAGACAACCGGAAGCATTCTGTGCGTTCGTCGTTTCGCGTATCGTGGGACTCGCGGGGACGGCGATGGCAGCGGACGACCGGCGTGGGACCTTTATTTCAGAACTGTTGTTCGCGGTACCGGCGAATTCTGTCTACCTTTAGAAGAAAAATTTGGGACTGATCAAAAGAATTGGTATTCATCCCGTACGACACGCCCGAACACCAAGCCGATTTGCACGAAGACGTCGCCGAGCCGTCGCTCCCTTCTCGTGGCTGAAGACATCGCTCGCGCAAACGTCAAGCACGGCGTGTCTACTTCGAGTTGAATATGCACGCGTACCATTTCTTTACTAGGTGTGAATGTCGCCAATGCGTGGTGCTTCCAGACTTCGACCCGGGAGTGCTTTTGCTAGAGGAAATTCGGCAGCAAACTTTCGAACTTACAGTTTACCGATCATTACTAAGGAGAGAGATCCACCAGTAAAGAGGTGCCCCGGTAGCTCAGTGGGAAAGACGTCCGCTTCATACTCGGTAGGACCGGAATCAATCCCCCGTGAAACTTTTTTTTTTTTTTTTTTTCGAACATTTTTTGATGTTTACATATCTTTTTTTTTTTACAATTATCACTGAAGAAACAAACAAAAAAATAACAAACAATTGTTGTGGACGATACTTCGCTAAGTTAAATGGTATGGGATTTCCTTTTTGACACTTGCGAACTCAATGTAATCACTTTCCACAAAATGCAAGGAGCATATAAATCAGGAAGCCTGTGCTTTCCGAGGTGCCCGTAAATGTTGAATTGCAGCCAGCCATTGGTCCCGATCCCGTTGATCTTTCGGAAACTCTGTCGCACAATGCCCCTTTTTTTTTCCGGACGCAAAACATGTGAGCCAGCTCTTCACGCAACATCTTGGGTGTATTCTTTTCGGAGCCGATCATGGAAATTCACCACGGGCACTCATTACTCATCTCCAACTCCTCAATGTACAAAACAACTCATCTTGGAGTTCAGAACAACGAGCGGAACAAACATAACTGCAAAAGCGAACAGTTCCCGTACGCCGCATGTCGTGTCGTCTGCTACAAAGAGGAGAAAAAAAAAAAAAAAAAAGAATGCATGGTTGGGTGTAGTCACGTGACTTCCGCCACTCTCTTCTCTCCACTCCTCCGACCTCCGTCGGGTTTCGGTTTCGGTTTCGAGCAGTTGCGTCTTTTGGCTTTATTAAAAAAATACGCTACTCTGTTGCAAAATATTAATTGGGTAGTCCTCCGACACCATAATAAAGTGCCTGGCAAAAAATGGAAAAAAAAAATTTTGGAGGTGTCAGTGTCCCTTTAAGGGTAGTTCACACACTTGCGCGAGTCCAACGAAGTGCGGTTGCAATAGCTTGAGACATTAATCCTTTTTACGGGTTGCTATGGCGACGGGGTTTTAAGCCGCATACAACCACCCTGTTGCCATAGCAATCCATAAAATGGTTAATGTCGCAAGCCGTTGCAGTCGCACTCGGTCATACTCACGCAAGTGTGTGAACCAGCCTTTACCATGTGCTAGCAAATTGTGCCATCGGCCCTTAGGCTTTAGATTAAAATCGACACAGCTAGCAATAGAACCAGGCCCATTCCATTCCCACTCCATTTTCGGGCAAAAGGCATCTAATTCCATTCCCATTCTATTCCCTTCAGTGCTGCCGCCATTCCATTCCGGGGTCGCAAAGTGCGGAATGATTCCGGAATCATTCCAACTCCGGAGTGAAAACTCCGCACCACTGGTTCAGAGGCTTTTCTATCCAAATTTTTTTTTTTTTCATACATATCCCAGACGTGACAAAATTGTTGCATCTTCTTTGGCATGGAATGACCCTCCTTCATTTTTTTACTTTTTCTAGGGACAGCATTTTTGGTGAGATAGAATGTTCGAAAGCAATCTGTGGTGAAAATCAAATCTTTTTTGACATAAAGGAAAATTTTCTCCCCGATTTGCACCTTTTATCTAAAGGAGTAGCTTGCTCCGGCAATACATTCGATGATGCCCTTCAAAGTATCACTCACTTATTCACTCTTCGAAAAAAAGAAAACTCAAACCAAAAGTTTAGAAACAACAGTTCTTAACGTTTCGGGGTCGACTTGACTCCTTCTTCAGGGGTGACTAAAAATGGAATGGGACAGCGCGAGCTTCGACCTCTCCTTCCTCTTCTACCGAGGTGATGTTTTGTGAACGTGACGCAGGCCATGGACGTAAATAGATGGTAAGGCCCCGAGGGACCTGTTAATGTTCCCCGGTGTATTCTGGATGTGCCACGACTCCAAGAACAGGCGTCTTCGAATATGTGGCTCTGTGTCTATCACGTGTGCGTTTCCGAAGTCGATCCGATGATCAAACACCTCACAATGTTCCGCGACGGCGCTACGCTCGCCAGACAGGTTTCTGTCGAAGATGTTTACTTTCAACTTATTCACTCTACACTGTGCGGTCGCAGACGCTTACGGGCCGCCTCGGCAAAATGTAGATCCGGACCCGCAGATATTCGCATCCGATCTGCATCCACAATCTGACAAATCTGTTTCATTTTTATCCACATCTGCCAGTTTTATTTGCATTCGTACTGCGGATATTCAGGGCTCTACTAATTTGTAAGCTGGTCCGAAACTGATTGCGGGGCCTCGTGACCTATGCTTCCTTGCAGGGCTCTACACCCACTACAAGCCTCTCCTTCAAAAGGACAAGGTGCTGCTTAAGAAGCTGTCCAAGGTGGGCCTTCGTTGCCAGCTGCAGCCAAGCAGTCTTTCTTCGGTTCACGAACATCGCAGTAGCAGAACGCACAGATGCCGCCAGAGGGCTTGGCACTCTCTCTTCTTGCGGCCTCCCAAAGCTTGGTCCTAGCAACATCTGTGCCCGTGTGTCGGAGCGTGTGGCTCCAACAGACAAAGGCACGGTTATCGTAGCCCGCTAACGTGGCTTCCACCAATGTCGCATCAGCAGCCGTTGTGTGGGACGTTGCCTGCTTTGCGTGTACAGTGCTCGCCAAACTCGTACGGAACCCCTCGAATTCTGCGTTTTCTCTTGGCAGCTCTATTCGGAAGGAGAGCTGAACAACGGCTCCTCGATGTAGCACCGCAAGATGGTTTGTCGAGCAATACAGCACGAAACAGGTGCTCGGCCACCGCCAGGACAGGGCTCCCACGAGAAAAGATGCAGGTTGCGTTTTCCGTACAAGTTTGGTGAGCGCTTTACCTACTGCAGCGTGTTTTACACCACCAATTTTGTTTTTCTCGACAAAAAGAAGTAGGAATGACCATTGGTAGAGTGTGGCGACGCCACATGCAAGTCATGTATTAACAAATCATTCGAGGAAGAGTCGACAGCAATGTCCAGTTTGATGCAGTTCTATCCACAGCATAAGGACAAGTTGGATTGCGGTTCATAGAGGTGCAAGGCTTCACTGAAATACAAGCCCATTATCAGCCTGACATCCCATTTTAATGTGGTTACCATGGGAAGCACAAGCAGAGGATTCTGATGCCAACGTTGGTAGTGTTTGTTGCAGAGGTTGGAATACGCATCTTCTCTGGCTGTGGGCTTCATTGCCAACTAGCGCTATTGTGAATGCTGCATGCTATCAGTGCAAGACAGAGCAGAGCACCTGTGTAGTTCAAACTAATGTAGCAAAGATATGAATATTGTGAAGCAGAGTTGAAGTATGCTTGTAATTCTGGTACTACTACTAGCATTTGAGGTGCTAATACTATAGCACTGTTTTTGTGGAGCTTTTTATTGTAGCTTTTACTATGCTGGTATCCACTGGATGCCATATTTGAGTGCACTCTTCACGGCACACACTCGAAACAAGCCCGCAGTTAGAGCCTGCTAAGACCCGAAAGCTTGATGATGTGGAATTTAGCTCCAAATGCACCATTGAAGCTCGCCGTCGGCTCATGCTCAGCAGCCGCGGACTCGGTTATGGCTACCAGTGAATACCCCTTATAGAAAGTTTCTGCCGCCATATGCTTTGGTGTGCATGTTATAAGATAAGTTAATGTGATTATGCCGTTGTACATCATTTTGTTTTTGTCCAAAACTTGCACATAGATTTTTCGGTGTGTTTGCCTAACGACCAGGGCAGTTTCTCACAAAGCACTCTCAGTATGGTATGGCGACTTTAGTTGCCCCCAGACCAGCCTTTCACTTGTGTCTTGAGTGACAAAACCAGTATTTCGTGCACCATGAAATAACATGAAGCAGCCCTTTGGCATTCTACGTTCTGGCCATTCATGGGAATGGCGTGCAACAATGATAAAGTGCCGTTCACACACTTGCAACCGAGTACGACCAAGAGAAACAAGACGGGTTTTGAAGCCTCTTGTGACGGCGGAGGACCCGATGTGCTGCTGTGGAGCAGGCCTTATGCCGTTGAGAGAGGTTTAAAGACCGGTCTTGTATCTCTCGGTTATACTCGGTCGCAAGTGTGTGAACGGGCCTTAGCTCGAGCACCGCATAAATGCCGTCACAGCTTAGTATCCGTCGGAGAGTCTGCCATCCTTTCTCACAAACGTTAAAGAACAGGTTAGGGATGGACGTAGCAACTCTGTTGCTTTGCAAGCTATGAACACCCTCGATTATAGTTCCACTCGAGCTTGAGGACGTGGCAACAGACATTAGCATTTGCTTTGCTTGGGTAGCTGCAGAAAAACAGCCATCTGGCACACTTACCAGAAACGAGATGCTGCGTCTGAAGGGATGTGAAAAGCTCAAGAGTGATGTGCGACAAAATGAATGGTGCTCCTTTCACCAGGGCATCCAGACGAAGAGGCCCATGGAGGTTCAGAGTGCACTGCTCAAGCGTTACCTCCTAGAACTCACACAAAGCTTCATGATCCCCCTGGTAAGGACCATTTGTTTGGTGGTTCTCTTACAAGGATCTCTGGGGGCGTTACGATTATTTCCTTGCAGACTAAGAATTATACAAAGTGTGTCCAGCAGATGCAAGAGCTGTCTGCACCAAACACGAGTTTTTCGGACTTCTTTTGGTCACGATATTGCATCTTGTAGGAGTGCATGCAAAACTACTCCCAGAATCTGCTTTGCTGCTAATCTGCTTGGCATGCGTGCCAAGAAAAAAAAATTGTGTACGGCAAGAGTCCGAGAGAGTTGCAGCGAGTGTGTTCGGCCCTTTAAGTCAGATTGTTCTTTTTGGTTTGCACAGACGGTTTGGCTTTAGTAATAGTCAGTTTACATTGAATTTTTTTGCCAATTTGACCATGTACTTGTTTCTGCATTATAATTTATGCACCATTCCTACAAGGGATCTGAACAAAAACCAGTAGTATAAAAATAAACAAAAATCTTAACTCTTAACAAAAGGAATTGATAGTTAAATGTTGCAATGCTTTGTGTGTGTAATGTAGCTCTGAAATGAGGGGTGAAGTGGCAGTGCAAAGTCCAGAGAAGTTGCTTGAAAAACAGGTGCCATAAATGGTGGCTCAAGTTAGGTAAAAAGACAAACATTCTTATCCAGCACTTCTGAAGCAAAGTTCTCAATGGCCCGCTGTTTTCCAGGAGCGGTACATGGCAAGCCTGATGCCCCTCCAGAGGAACATTTCCCCCTACAAGGTGCACTTAATCTCTCTATAGTGGGTCGATTTACCTGCACCAGCCCACAGCAGTGTAGAAAAGTGTAGCACAGTGAAGAAAAATGCAGGGCAGTGTACTTTTGGCCTGTGTTTTAAAGAAGGGCTGCACTCGCAAATCGAATAATGGTAGCTTTGATTGATATACCTGCACGGGAAAGTAGAGGATGGTGTACTCCCGGTACGTGCATCGAGATACGACCGGAAGTACATCGCCCTACACTTCTCTGCACCGGTTCAGGTAAATGAAACGAAGCTGGTGTGCACCTGATGCAGGATGTGTAGGTAAATCAGATGTAGTAGTGTAAACTTGTGGGAGCAATATTGCCACCTAGTCGCTTTGTGATGCAAGAACTACTTCGAACGCCATATGCCTATCCAGCATACTGGGCTTGTAGAAGTGAACCGTTGCACCCGTGTGTCCCTCAGAAGAAATCGAAAACTAAGCGACATACAAAGCCTCTTTCTCACCGCGGTACAGAAAAATATGGTAGGTCAGTTGGCCGTCATTATGCATCCCCATCTGGAAAATTGCACGAAGCCAAGGCCAATAACTGCACCTCGCTCTGCTTTCCTTCACTTTTGAGAGCAGGAATTCCCGCATTTGCCATCGAGATTGCTCCCCACAACAGGACGTCGCTTTTCCCCATCTGTGCGAGACGTCGCAGCACTAACTTGACCTTTGTTGCAGGGGACGCCATCGCTGGGACCCTTCCACCAAGAAGACTTTCTGCGCAGCCTGGAGACCTCGGGGCCCCAGCTCACTACAGGCACCAAGGGCGACTGGGCAGCCCTCTACAGGTGCGTAAATCAGCTGGACCGCAAGCGGCGCCGGCAGGTGGTAACTAGACTGAGACTCCGGTTTGGCCGCAGGAAGTTCTTCCGAAGCAGCAACTTTTCGGGCTGGTACCGGGGCCGCTGCAAGGAAGCCTCCCAGAAACTCCAGGCCCTACACGCGGAAGCAATCTCGGATGCCGTGAGTTCCCGGATTACATAGTTACAATGTGCACCACTTACCAAACCGGTACGAAATGAGGCGAAGTGCTCCATGGTGGTGCAAAATGGAACAGCCCGAGCAAGGGAGGCCATTTGCTGAAGATCCAAATTCTGGTTAGACCATGGACAGCACATTGTAGTTTGCTTAGCAGGTAAAGTTCTGCACCGTGCCTGGTTCAGTTCCACTTTCCATCTCGAGCGAGGGACCTTCCCACTCAGGCCAGTCAACGAGTGCTGGGTCATTGAGCAGTTCTTTGGCTGCTGCCAGGATAGCAGTGCCACGAGATACGACGGTTGGCGCATTCTGCGCAAGTTTGGCAAACACCATACTCTGCCCACTCACAAATATTTTCTTGACAGGACCTGCTGCTCTGGACCAGAGACAAGCAGGAAGTGGAAGTGGTCGATCTGGTGCTACGGCTGAAGGACAAACTGGTGGGTGAGCAGTCTGTGGACCTGCAAGGGTCGGCCTTCACAAAACGACTGTCCTCGGTTGTGCAGAGTTCCGGCGAGAAGGGCAGCCTACCGGTGACCCCGCAGACCATGGCCAAGCTGCGGCAGCACGTACAGACCATAGTGTCTGGACTCCCCGAAGACCTCCAGCAGGTCCTGGCCTCGAGCCGGTGACGAGAACAGATGCCTCCACGAGGAGGGGAAGCGAGAAGACACGGCAGGGAGGGATCCGTCTTTTATTACACGAGTAAAAAGTCTTACTTACCGACCGAAACCCCCCGAGTGGCGTCTGTCCCCCCCGGTGCTTACCTTGACTGCTCCGAGGACGCCGGACACGGGCACCACCACACCACACCACACACCGCACGAGCCATTGGGGGGAGAGATTGCACCCACGGCACGTCACACACACACACGCGACACAAGCAGCACAAGAAAACGCACGCAGGCACCAGCGTTTATTGAGCGTGACAGAACAGGGGTCGGAGGGAGGGGGAGAGGCTAGGTGCCGGGAGCCACCACCACCACGAGATGGTCCTCGTCGGCCGATTGGATGGCGGGGCAGGCGCGTCGCAGCACCTGCAGGGCGAATGCGCACGGCGGGAAGGCGTAGAGCACGGCCCGGGCCAGGGGGATGACGCCGGCTGCCTCCTTCTGCTTCAAGTAGCTGACCAGGTTGCGCAGGGGCCGCTGGGGCTGGCCTCCGGCCTGCTCCTGGGCCAGGGCCACCAGGATGGCGCAGCCCTGGGCCAGGCGCCGCTCCACGTCGGCCAGCTTGGCCGGGTCCAGCCGCAGTCGCTGTGTGATGCGCAGGGATGCCTGGCCCCCGAGCAGGGGCTCCACCGAGTCCCCCGAGCAGAGCACCATGCGGGCCGGGAATGCACTGTTCTTCAGCACCAGGCCCCCCTGCCACGCTGACGCACACGTGCGCCCCAGCTCCTGCAGCGTCGACACCGTCCGGGTACTACCGCCGCCGCTGCCACCGTTCTCCCGCTTGGCCGGTGGGCTCGGGGGGGTGCGCGGACGCCAGTTGGGGCCAGGGGCCGCAGCGCCCCCCGGGGGGCCCGGGACGCCAGGGGGCGGCGGCCCCCAGGAGGCCTCCCACCGGCGGGGCTCGTCGTAGCGCCCTGCCCAGGCCGGGTCTGGGAAGTCCGGCCGGAAGGGCTCTGGCGCCCCCGCGGGTGGGAAGCCCGGGTAGTAACCGAAGGGGTCGGGATCGGCAAAGTCAACACGCAGCCGCTTGTCCGGCCCGCCGAGCGGGAAGCCCCGCATCTCCTGGCAAGCCGCCTGTGCGGCGTCAATGCTGTCGTACTGCAGGTAGGCGTGGTTCTCACCCTTGACCCAGTCGATCTTGCGGATGGCGCCAAAGCGGTCAAACTCACGCTCCAGGTGCGCCAGGGAGGTCCAAGAGCCCAGGCCACCCACCCAGATGCGCATAGACGGAGTGGCCTTGCCATAGCCAATCTTGCACTGGAACTTGCCGATGTACTGGCCCGACATCTCCACCTTGGCCCGGTGGGCCATGTCCAGGTTGAGAAACTTGATGAAGGCATATGCGTTGCCCTGGCCCGGCGGTGGCCGCTTCACGTCCACGTCCTCCACCACGCCATAGCGCTCAAAGATGCGGCGCAAGTCCGCCTCCGAGATGGTCACCTCCAAGTTGCCCACAAACAGGGTGCGAGTCGCCTTGTCGTCGTCCTCGGGCGGCACGTGGTGCAGGTAGTTGGGGAACTTCTCCTTCTTGCCGTCCTCACGCCGAAAGCGATTCTGGAACGGCCCGCGCTCCAGGGCCCGAGGGTCCATACCCCGGTGGTCCATCGCGGGGGGTGGAGGGGGCGGGGGTGGGGGCGGCGGCAGCCGGTGATGCTCCATGCGCATTCGCCGCGGCCCGGGCGACGATGACGGGTGGTGATGGTGGTGGTGGTACTCGGGCGGCGGGCTCAGACTCCGCTGGCGCACGCGCAGCACGGGCTCCACCTGCACCTGCTTGTCGAAGAGCACCAGCCGGGACTTGGCGTGCCGCGCCTCCTTAGCCTCCTCGTACGAGCGGAAGTAGACGTAGGCGACGGGCTCGTTGCCCTCGTGGCACACCTTCACAGAAACGTTACCGAAGCGGCTGAACTGGTCCTGCAGCGTCTCGCGCAGCATTACGTCCGAGATCTTATGATTGAGGTTGGACAGGCACAGCACCTTGTAGCCGTTGTACGGCGGGCTCCGCTCCACCTTGAGCCGGTAGTCGTCGAACGAGCCCCCCGAGACTCCCCGGTCGGCCGAGGCGTCGCGCCCGCCTCGCCGCCGATGCTCGCTGGGCGACTTGTTGGAGCCGCGCCGGTCGCCCCCGCGCCGGTCAGGCGTCCCGCGCGGGCTGTCGTCGTAGCGCGCCATGGGCCGCTTGCTCTTGGGCGAGTCTCTGTCCTGCTGCCGTTTCATCCTCGGGCACGCATTCAGAAGCCTGCGATCACTCCATCCGACGCTCGGCGGTGGCGGCGACGCACTGCACGAAACACGGCCATCTTGGGTGACGAGGATCGATACACAATGGCGTCGGGACGATAGCCCCGCTCCGCGACAGCCTTTCCGCACCACGAACTGCTTCCGCCCCACTCGCACGAGACACAACAAGGCACCGATCACGAAAACCGCAACTCTTTGGCACCTCTTCGAAGAAGCAGCAAACTCGTCGTCGACACATTTTTGCTCGCTAAACCACAGGCGCCGCACGGAGCTATTTTTATCGTCGGAAGGCGGTCGCAGCGGGGTCGCTCTTCCCGTCGCCGATCGTCGAATAGGGCACAGAAGCACCGTCGAGGCCGCCGTCGCGCAACTTTTTTTTGTTTTCTTTTCTTACGGATAGAACTTGTACGCACAAACATGAGCACCCCCAGGCACGGAACACACGAAACATCAGACAAGCAAGCGACTCCTTTTCCTAGGAATGTGCCGAGGCGTCGCCATGACTCGCACTGGGCAGGAGGCAAGATCAAACACACATTGCACATTTCACAGTGTTGCACAACCATCGTGTGGCCGCTACGCAAAGGAAAAGAAGAAAGTGATCAGATGGAGCATTTGGCACTCACGAATGGAAAGCAGCGGGATTTACGGGCAAGGAAGAGAGGGGGGGAGCATTCATTTGGCGCGGTGGACAAAGGCATAGCGACGATCGGCACGCCTGTGAAGTTACCGCGGCAGATGGTCGCGTGCCGCGCGCTTACACGTTTCTCCACCGCGCTAAAGAAATCGTTGAGAGGTTTATACCTTTTGCTTTCTAGCAATCAACCCGTCACAGACCGAGATGATGGCATGAAGTTCTTGTCGCTCATGAAACCTCAATCTTGCGGGAGCGACAGAGGTCAGGAGGGCGGCGGCGCCACCATCTGCTGTTCGCCTTAAAATTCCTTGATGGGAGCCGAGTTGGCCGAGTCTAGGTAGGAGAATTCCCTAACTTCGGATGTCCAAAACGTAGTCGACGTCGTGCTTGTAATCGTTGCGCTGAGACGTACGACTGGGTAGTCAATGTGTGTTGAATGATTATCGCGTGTGAGCGCGCAGTAAAGTACGCGTAACACCTTGAACACAAATGAAGAGCACTCGAGAGCTTGCAGCAGCTTGCAACCTGCCGTGCAGTTTGGCCAGTTTGGCGTTTCGGAGCAAACGGCCATGCCGCAGTAAATATAAGATAAAACGATAGAAAACAGACTTATAGGTGGAGAACAAATAACTAATTTTTCTGTGAGATATTAGTCTCGATTATTCAAACCTGAATTTCTTTCACAAGTGGCGCGATCGACTGATTTTTCAAGGAGGATATGATTTTTCAGCCAATGATAATGCTTGTGCAAGCGCCCGCGAGAAGCGATTCTATTTGAAATGAAATTGATTTGAAATCACACCTTTTTTACTTTGGTGATTTAAATCACGCTTACCCGCAAAAATAGCCTAGAATTTTTTTATTTACTCTTTTTTGACTATTTTATGCTTTCTGTGGGCATTTGCTTTGTAGTTAAATTAAATAATCATCAAGCAAGAAATAATTACAACTGCTGAACTGTAAAGAATAATCCAGCCAGAAATATCAATAACTACAAAAGGTGGTGTTTTTGTGAGCAAATCAGAATCCTCAGCTTGTTTTCTACCTTCCACTGTGTTGGTCACTGACATAATGTCCTATTGCAAGCAAATCATAATGCAAAAAAAAAAAAAATAAAGCTTTTGTTCTAAGATAGCGGGGTTTACACGCATAAAAAGTTAATTAAATTATACTTTAAATTCACAGTGAATTTTTCTTCCGTGTTACTTTCAGCGTTTGGAGCAGCAAATTACTATTTTCTAAATACAGTGATTTAAATCAAATTAATCTGATTTAAATAAAAAAAATCAAATTTCCTTGATTTTTTAATTGTTTTTCTTCACTTTGGTGAATTGCAAGTGCGGATGCTTTGGTATGATAATTTACAAGTTCATCCATCTCCCATACATCTCATGTGTGTTGATATATTCTACTGCTGGCAACTCTTCGTTCGCAAGCACGTAAAAAAAAAAAAAATAATAAATAAAAAAAGTCAAATTGAACGTTGAGTGATTTATACAGCGTAAGGTCGGCCTGCCAGGATTTGCGACACTGGTTTACACTGTAGAAGAGCAATTTTGTCAGTGCAGTACGACTGCTAACCTGGGGTCTTTAACGTGCACCACGCAGTAGTGATACATGACCGCACGCCGGTACGATGCTCATCCAGGTCGAAACGGGCAGGGGTGAAGCTTGAGCTCAGGATGCATGGGTTCTGCAGCGCGAGCTTTCGCTCCACGTGCTCCGAGCTGGTGTGCGCTAGCCCACTCGGCTCCATGCTTAGTGTACAAAGTTGTCAAAGCTGCTGGCGCGGGCATCGGGTTTGATCTCGCAGATAATTTGCTCGCGTTCTCGCGCAAACGAAACCATAGATGAAGCCACGCACTCGAGCCAGTAGCTTTGACAACATTGTATATTAAGTATGAAACGGATAATACCCACTAAACTCTATGACAATAGGACAATTTAGTGCCACTACATAAGCTACGCTTCAGAATAACGACACTTGGCCACATTGTGTCTTAAATTCATGGTTGCCAGTTATCTGAAGCTTTATCTGAAATCAGAGGAAACGTTTTTCCGCCCTCCACAAATGTTTAAACAGTTCGCGACAGAGCAGAGCAATATTACTTGACCTTCCTCACATCGAATCTAAGGCTGAGGAAGTCGCACTTTTGAATCATGGCGATCGGCAGTTGCATCTCTCTGCATACAAACCAAAATGGCGGCGCCCACAACAATGGGCGCGTTAAGTTAACGCGCTCCACGCGCTCGAGCGCGCTCCAGCGGTCAGAGTGCACTCGAGCTAAACCACTGATCTCTATGACAATTGCTGGATCGCGCTTCCCCGCTTGTTCGCTGCAGCGCAAGTGAAGCCACCGGACTTCACTCGCTTGGGATACGATTTGCCGTTTTTGCTAGCCTTTGCTGCGGTTTTCCAGCGTGCTGTAGACACGTTTTCTACTCGTTCGTCGTCATTCGCCGAAGAAGTTTCTTGAAGACTCTGTGTATTGTTGAGACTTGCCGTTGTGAACACGTGGAAAGTTTTACGAAAGTGCAGTGTCGCAGGAAAAAGGCAAAACGCGTCGAAAGGAAGGGCTGGCGGCGTGTTCCAAGCTTCCTTGGCACGCCGAAGTGCCGTGTCTCTGTGCCTTCGCACGCTTGGATACCGACCAAGAACCGACGCCGTGTGTGTGTGTCTAGCGAGTGCAATGTGCGTGAAGCTGTTCGTGCCTCTGGATCAGCGTCTTTTCCCCTCGCGGTTTAGGAACGAGCTTAATCCAGCGTCCACTAGCGACGGAAGATGGGGGGAAGGTACGTCTTTTTTTCGTCCTTAGACGATTTACACAATACCGTGCACAACAGCTCCTCATCACTGATCAGTGCTGGCTTATTATCAACCTACTTAATTGCACTTGACGTTTGAGCGCGGCTCGCCTAATTGTAATTGGTCAGCAGATTGCACACGACTATATCGGCCGCGCTTCAAAGATTGTCATTCTCGCCGTCTTGTACTTTTGCTTTCGAAAACCCCCCTGGCTCCACAACGTTGCCCTATTCGTGCTCCCACGGAATCTATTAGAGTAGATTTGGGACATAGCCATGGTTAATATATAGTACATAAGAACACGTACAGATCTCTCCCTTTTATTGATAGCAACTCACCGGAACAGCTGGACGATCCAGAACTCCGTGGCCGATATATATAAATGATCTAAAGGCTTCTACGCGCGACACACGTTCAGAACTTTGGCGCGGCGTCAATTCTTGACCGGTATCCAAGCGTGCGAAGGCACAAAGATGCATCACTCGGCGTGCCAAGGAAGCTTCCCACGTAGCACGAAAACGTTCTGAGAACATTCCGGGAATGTTCAAAATAACATAGACAACATTCTTGGAATGTTGAAGGATTACGTAAGAACATTCTATCAACGTTGTCAGAATGTGGCGCAGGCACTTATCGCTACATTCGGGGAATGTCTTCAAAGGGATATTCTTAGAACGACATAGAACATTACCAGGCCATTCAATCAACACTGAAACTTCCTAACAAGTTTCTCAGAACATCCAAAGAACTTCTGCAACATTCTCTGAATATTGCAAATTTACGTAAGAACATTTTATCGACGTTGTCAGAATGTAGCGCAGGCACTTATCGCTACATTCGGGGAATGTTTTCTAGGTGATATTTTTAAAACATTCTGAGCACGACAAAACCTAACAAGGTTTTAAGAACGTTCCCAAAACATCCAAAGAACGTCTGCAACATTCTCTGAGGAATGTTTTCAAAAATTCCATATTTATAGCTTGCTTACCTTACAGCCCCACTGAGCCGTACTATATATATTAACATAATAAATCCCAAGGAGCGATCGATATTTTTTAATCGAAATATATTTTTTTCTAGGCCTAGCACAACCTAGACTGCTTTACCAGCGCATTAGCCACAGCCTAATCATCAAAACATGCGGCATACATAACCGATTACTCACTCGGAGCATAAGAACAGATACGGCATCCCACACTCAAGCGGGACATACCTTCTTCAAGGTATCAAATCCGAGATGCTAAAAATCAGGTCTATTCAAAACTGCCCCTCTACGTACGCAGTGAGTGCCAAACTCATTATCAAATTTTGAAGACCATTGCTTTTCTCCTACACCTTATCTCACATTCCTCGGTACACTCGTACAAGATAAAACTGATCCCTTATGCTAAGTTTCCAAAACCTCCACTTAATTTGCATATTTTTGGCACAAAGTGGCATATAGTGGATGGTGTTTCGAAACACAGGTTGCTTGAAAGCTCCGTAAAGTTGGCTTCACCTGCGAAAATTCTAGGGATGTTCTAAGCGAACGTTCTAAGAATGTTGCAGGATTCGTCGCCTGGCTTCCGAGCTATCGAGACGTATCGCGATGAGCTCCGTCGGAGCGGTAACGGCCGCTGATAGCCGTGGAATTTCTGCTGAGTTAGGCTCCCAAGGATACAGGATCGTACTGCCTCCCCTGCCGAAGGGCGTTCACGCCCTGAATTCTGTCTTTCTGCACGCCGACATTACGGCGCGGCCTTATCGCATTGAAGATTTTAAAGCCGGACTCGAGAAAGCGGGAGTACTAGGCGAAATCGCCGCATGTAGTTCATTTCAGATGAACCACGTGTGGATGGTGACTCTGAAAACACCGTCGGCCAAGAAGAAGCTGGTGGACGCCGCGTCCTTCGAGGCTAAAGGGAGACGCTGCATCGTCGTCGACCCGGAGAAGGCCGAGGTGAGGCTGAAGCTTCATTGGATTTCTTTTCACCTTCCGGACGAAACCGTGAAGAAGGCCCTGGAGCCGTATGGCAAGGTTGAGGACGTCGCCCGAGAGACCTGGCGTGTCGGAGGCTTCGAAGGTGTGCAGTCGACCACCCGAGTCGTGAGGCTGACCCTAAGGGAAGGCGTCACGCTCGAGAACCTTCCGCACCAACTACGGCTCCCAGGCTGCACGGCCCTGGTGCTGGCCCCGGGTAGAGCTCCGCTCTGCCTCAGGTGCCGTCGAACCGGCCACATTCGTAGGGAGTGCCGAGTGCCGCGCTGCGAGAGCTGCAGACGTTTCGGACACCTACGCGACGACTGCAAGAAAACCTATGCAGACGTGGCTAACGGCGGCCCTGAGGACGACGCCTCGGAGCTACTCATGGACCAGGATGAAGCTGAGGACGCGGCAGGCGGAAACTCGGAGGGCAGCCAACCTCAGAGGCGAGCCGAGACCACCGTGGTCGTCCCACCACCCGAGACGTCCACCACGGCCGAGCTCCCCGCAGAAAACACGGACACCCCGAAACCGGTGGGCGACGACGTCGCACGCGTTTCGGCCCTCCAGGGGGACGAGCGCGAGCACGACTACGCCTGCCGGGAGTCGACCCTGGCTGCCGTTGAAAGGGAGAACGACCAGAAGGACGGCGAGATGGACGCCGTGAGCGGCTCTGCCAAGCGTTCCCTGGAACCGACACCAACCCAGGAGCCCGGTCAACCGCAGAACCTGCAGGAGAGGGTACTCCAGAGGTGGCAGACGGTGACTTCCAAGAGGGGCCGACGCCACGCCCCCCCTCAAGGACCACCGGAGGGCCACGTGCCGAAGGCTCCATAGTGAAGGAACTGTACAGCGGCTGAATAATATTGCTTAGGCGGCCTAGTACAAGTAAGAGTGTTGTATTTTTTTTTTTTTTGTATGTGTTTACCTGTTTGACTTAAGCGGCTTTTTGTATCGTAGCCTAGCCTTCTCTCTATTTTAGCTCCGTGATAGTAATATGTCTCTTAGTTTCGCCACTTTAAACGTCCGTGGGTTGGCCTCGTCGAGGAAGCAGTACCAACTGCAGCGTCTGGTAGAGGACGAGCAGCCGGACTTTCTTGCGGTGCAAGAAACTAAATTGCAGACAGAAGAGAACATTGAGAGAGCGCTGAGGCCTTATCTCCGGCGATATGAAGTTGCCGCTAGTCATGCTGCGGGTCGGTCGGGGGGGCTGTTTTCTATGAAACTATGAAAACTTGCAAGTTGTTATCGATGAGTGCGGGCGGTTTATTTCTTGTGATTTCACGCTGTCAGATGTCCAGTGGCGAGTGATATGTATCTACGCTCCCAATAACGCGAAGGATAGAGAAGTCTTTTTTCAATTTCTACGTAATTATCTGGAGTGTGACAAAGTGATCGTGTGCATGGGTGATTTTAATTGTCTGTGACGAGCGGGATAGTACTGGAGCGGCCACGAGTGGTGACAGCAGTTCGAGACTTTTGAAAGAAATTGTAAATGTGTGTGGGCTCGAAGACGTCGGTGCCTTATGCACCATAAGAAGTGGCGTAAGGTATACGCATTTTCAAAATACGTCACACGCTCGTTTAGACCGTATTTATGTTACAGTTGACGTACTGCGCACTGTGCACGGCTACCGTGTCCAGCCCATTTGTTTTACTGACCACTGCCTCGTAAGCGTAAAAATTGGCAGGAAAGAAAGCAGAGCGTCTCGTTTTAACTGGCAGCTTTGGAAATTAAACCGAACACTTTTGAATGATAAACTTTTTGCAACCACTGTTGCTGAGCTGTTGCGGGGTGTGGTCGAAAAAGAGACTTGTATCAGGGAGGCCTGGGAAGAATTCAAAGAGGGAGTTAAGTTGGCCGCGGTAGAAAGGGCCAGTAACATCACCTTCCAAGCTCGAGCTCGCGAAAGGCAGTTGAAGCAAGACCTTAACGCATTGTGTCGAGTAGAGTGTGAGCGCCCTGGAACTTGCAGCGATGACATTCGGCACATCAAAATGGAGTTAGATCAAATATACAATGAAAAGTATAAAGGGGCAGTTGTGCGGGCACGCTCGGAGAAATTTCTGTTGGGAGAACAGCCGACTAAGCGAGCTCTGGCTGAGGAAAAGAAGTATGCCCTGACTCGAGAAATAAGAGAAATAGAATATAAAGGGAAAATTAGCAGCGATAAAGATGTTATAGAAGAAGCTTTTGTTGAGTACTTTGGGAAACTTTTTGGGGAAAAACCGACTACCGTAGGATTTCGTAAATTTAAAGATTTTTTGTCACTCATGCCCAAGTTGGATGAGGAGGTTACAACGTGGCTCGAGGGAGAAATCACGCTAGGAGAGGTTGAACGAGCAATAGATTCGCTAGCGAGACAGAAAACCCCGGGGCCTGATGGGCTTTGTGCAGAATTTTACCAAACCTTTAAAAATGCCCTTAGTCCCGTACTGTTGGCCGTATTTAATGAGTCATTCGAAAATTACTGTCTACCGCGTTCCTTTGTAGAGGCCCACACCATACTGATACCGAAGTCGGAGGACTTGTCGAAAAGGCTCAGCGTGACGGGATATAGGCCGATTACATTATGTAACATAGACTACAAGATTTTCACTAAGATTATTACGCGTAGGCTCCAGTGTGTCATTCGGGACCTCATCGGGGATCACCAAACATGTGGCATTAAAGGAAGGTCCATTCAAACTATAATATTCATATAGCGAGAAGCATTTTTGAAACTGTTGGGAGGGATAAAGTGGCAATGATACAATTAGACTTGGAGAAAGCGTTTGATAGAGTTAGACATGATGTTCTAAAGAGTATTTTATTGCATGTTAATGTAGGCAAAGTTGTCCTGAAGGGTGTAGATATGGCATATAAAGGTTGTATCACCAGGCTGGTGTTAAATAATAAATGTTTCTAAGAAAATTGCAGTGCTTTCGTCAGTCAGACAGGGATGTCCCCTTTCACCCTTACTATTTGCTCTGTACCTTGAACCTTTCTGTGTGAGCGTGATAACTAGCAAGAATATCCGGGGGTTTCTTTTCAATAATGTTGAAGTTAAAGTGTCCGCATACGCTGACGATGTGGCTATTTTTTGTAAAGACGAAGAAAGCGTCATGGAAACTGTCGTCCTCACGAAAGAATATTGTAACGCCACAGGAGCGGCAGTGAACTGGGGGAAATGTTGTGGGGTGTGGCACGGGAGGTGGGCTTTAAAACCGCATTACTTTGCAGGCTTTAATTGGGAAGCGACGCCATGTACATATCTTGGGGTGCCCTTGGAATATTACAAAGTTAGCACGCCGTACTGGACTGAGCTCGCAAAAGATTTAAAGACGAAGGCGGACACTTGGGTCAGTCGGAACTTGTCAATTTTTGCGCGCGCCACAGTGTGTAATATTTTTTTAATCGCAAAGATCTGGTACATTATGCAAGTTTTGGCATGTACACGAATGAGTATCCAAAAGTTCCATAGGGTGTTCGCCACTCTCATCTGGAGGTCCGGGTGGGAAAGGATGAGAAGAGATAACCTTTTCCGGAGCGTCAAGTCGGGAGGCCTTGGCCTCTCGCATCTTTTCGTCCGTAAGATTGTTTCGCGCTTCTTTTTCCTACGCGACCAGAATCATCCCTTCCTACGTGCAATTATTCAGGTGAGACTGGCGAACTCTTTGCCGGCAGTGTTGGTGACTAGTGAATGTACTGAGCCCCCTTGTTTTTCTGGTTATTTAAAAGAAGTGAAAGACGCTGTATTGTTTTTGCGAGCACGTTTTTCGATGGACTACCTGGGTAGTGTCACTAAAAAGAAGCTCAGTCGTGACCTGATTGAGCTCCTTTTCCCTGCGCCACTGTATCGATCAGTGTACAGCCAATGTCCGGGTCAAGATGTGCTCCAGCGTGTGAAAAGGATGTGTGTTCCACCAGGGGTAAAGTCCTTTTTCTTTAAATTGCACAGCGAGACATTGCCAGTCAAGCCATGGCTAAGAGATAAGGGGATCTTTGTTCCTTGGTCGGTGGATTGTCTCCTGAGTAAGACACCAGAAACCATCGAACACGTTTTTATTTATTGTTGGGATGCTGTGTTTTTTTGGGACATTCTTCAAAGGACCCTGAAAAAAGATTTTATGTTGTCCCCGGAGACCATTAGGTATTTACCTGTTGAAGAAAGTGACACTGTGCCCTACGACCTTTTTATGATACTCGGCCTGTTTAGTATTTGGAAAACAAGGATGGAATTTCGGCATGCTGACCCAAAAATTAAGTCTGTACAGAAGCATTTTATCGATATTGTAAACGAGGTTCAAACGGTGTATTGCAGAACACCAGAAACTACGCCTGAGTGGGCACACTTGTTCAGTGAAATTAAGAACATGAGATAACTTTAGTTCGCCCACAAGTCGCTGGGCGTGAACTCCTTGTAATGACATAGCATTCTGTGCTGCAATGTTGAGTTCAATAAAGAAAAAAAAAAGTTCTAAGAATGTTGCACATATGAATGTTCAAAGAAGAACGTTCCGAGAACATTGTGCATACGAATGTTCGCCAACAAACGGTTTTAGATTGTTGAGCAGCATACTTTGTAAGGAATGTTCGCATACACACGTTCCTAGAACGTTCCGAATGGTGTTTAACGTTCCTTCAACATTCAGAACACCCAGGGAATGTTCGCACGACATTGGATGCTACGTGGGTTTGATCACGCCGCGACACCGGCGACACTTGTTTTCGACGAGTTGTACCTTTTGATACGGCTTCACGCACATTGCACTCGCAAAACACATCCACACGGCGTCGATTCTTGGTCGGTATCCAAGCGTGCGAAGGCACAGAGACACGGCACTTCGGCGTGCCAAGGAAGCTTTAAACACGCCGCCAGCCCTTCCTTTCGACGCGTTGTGCCTTTTTCCTGCGACACTGCACTTTCGTAAAATTTTCCACGTGTTCACGACGGCAAGTCTCAACAATACACAGAGTCTTCAGAAAACTTCTTCGGCGAATGACGAAGAAGGAGTAGAAAACGTGTCCACAGCACGCTGGAAAACCGCAGCAAAGGCTAGCAAAAACGGCAAATCGTATCCCAAGCGAGTGAAGTGCGGTGGCTTCACTTGCGGGAGCGGCAAGCGCGATCCAGCAATTGAGTGTCATTGAGATCAGTGATAAACGACATCGTCTCACTTCCGGTGCACGGTGGCGGAGCGCGCTCCGCGAGCTCCGTCGTCGGAGATGGTGCGCGGGAGCGCGAACAGGTCGGTTTCCGGTGAGATGACGGCATTTCCGCTCTCGCGGCCAGTCTCGCGGTTACTCGCGGTAATTTTGCACGGTGGTTGCGGTGGTCGTGGTTTCACCGTTTCACCGGTTTCACACGGTGGTGCGGTGGTCTCGCACGAGACGGAAGAATTATCAAAATCCTCGCGTTTTGGGCTCCGGACACTCCGGACCGGGCCGCCAGGCCACTCTGGACCAGAGGCGTCGGGTGTGCGCAATCCGTGGCGAGCGAGTTCGCTTCCGAACGCTCCGATGATGCCACCGCGCTCGCCTCGCCGTGGCCTCGCCAAACTTCGCCGACCGCGACCGCACCAACCGAACCCCGCGGCCGAAAGGCTCCGGCCTAGCCAGGAACGGCACCGAGGTAGGCCGGTCGTAAGTAGGAGCTGCTCATTCTGCGCTACGATGCAGTGCTCGGAGCTCTCGGCGTCGTTCGTACTTGCGCCGAAGTCTTTAGGGACTCCGTCGGACGCGCAAGTCGCGCCTGCTTGGATGCGTGGATACTTCGACGGCGATCGCTTGGCAGCTCGTGTAGTCGTTCCGTCATCGTGGAAATAAAAAAAAAGCATGTTGCTGGTGTAGAAAG